GGATCAATATCTTTCTGACTTCGTGGTTCGCATTTCACTATGCGTTGCTCAACGGTCTCATTGACGCTATACAGAACGACCGTAGAATAGTCGAATACATTCGGGCTACGGTCAAGCCAGAACAATTCGTTTTGGAATTTACAGAAGGGGTATGGGAACGTTTTCGGGACGATTTTCTCCATTTTATGGACACGTTCACCCCAGCAACTCGCAGCAGACCGCAAACACTGGTGTCGCCATGGCGTGATCCCGAACTATGACGATTACTCCCGCACCGAAATCGATCTTGACACGCTTTTCGAGCCACCGGTGCAGGTTATGACCGACTTCGGAGAATTTGAAAGCACTGCATGGAAATGAAGTGATCAAAGCGGAAGGTCTTCAAGAAGAAGCTGGTAGCTGATTCAGTGGAGGCTCTTAAACGTCTTTTTGCCTAACTGAAGCGGTGCACGAGAGCTAGAGCTGATATCCCAGCTTGATCGATGGAGCTGGCACGGTTGACACCGACAAAGGCGAAGAGGAACCACTGGCCACAAAGTACCGCTCATTGTACATGACAGACGCCGGCTTGCCATTAACAGCAGCCATAATCACTTCGATATTCACCTTCGAAGAGTTTTCAGATATGAAAGTAACAAGAGTGCTCCAGTCGATCAAGAACGAGTCAATCCCCAGGCCGCACAGTGTTCGTGTCCTCACGATCAAGGAACTGGCGAACATGGTTGTGTTCGATTGTGCAGCCAAGTGTGCCGGGATTGCTCTAGACGATCGTCTGAAACGAGGCCCAGATTTGACGACTCCGCTGATGGAGATGCTGTGTCGATTTCGTCTAGGGTAAGTTGCAGTGGCGGCTGATATCCGGGAAATACTCATGCAGTTTAAAGTCCCCGATGGGCAAACAGATGCTCTACGGTTGTGGTGGTGGCCGGATGGAGACCTAGACGGACCTGCCCAAGAATATCGGATGACGGTGCACCCGTTTGGCGCCATATCCTCTCCTTTCTGTGCAAACTTCGCGTTAAAAACGACCGTGAATCTATTTGCTCAAGATTTCGAACCCCGTTGGGCTCCTGTGTTGAACATAATGTTTATGTGGACGACTTCTTGGGATCCTTTGATAGCATCGAGAAAGCAGTTCGACGCATTATTGACTTATCTAGGCTACTGATCATGAGAGGGTTTAAGTTAACCAAGTGGATGTCTAACAGTCGTCAAGCAATTGATTGCATGCCTGTTGTGGAACGGTCACCGTGTCTTCGTGACTTACAGGCAAGCCCGTTGCCAACAGACAGGGCACTTGGTGTGCAATGGGACTCGGAGAACGGTAAGTTTTTGTTCCAACTCCAGCTACCTGAGAAGATGGCGACTCGCAGAGGAATTCACTCTTCGTTGGCCAGCCTTTACGATCCAATGGGGTTCGTCGCACCGTGGCTACTGCCGGGCAAGATTCTGCTGCAGGACCTGTGTGGAAACTTAGTTACTTGGGATGAGGTCCTATGCGAAGCGGATCACAAGACCTGGCAAAGCTGGTGGCTGGGCGATATACGATTCCTTCGTCCCATAACAGGAATGCACAAAGGAGAGCACAGTGAGTTACAAGTTTTGCGAACACGTCGGAGGATGGATACGGGGTAGTGACCTACGGTTGCTCGTCTCGGCCAGGAAGAAGAAGGCATAGCAAACTTCTGTTCGCAAAGGCCAGGGTTGCACCTCTAAGGCAGTCTCAATACCCAGGCTAAAACTGGCCGCAGCAGTATTGGCCGTGAGGGTAGCGAAGGTGCTCAAAAGATGTTTTAACTCCATCGAATGGACCGAAACTTACTGGACTGATTCCGCCACAGTTTTCATTAAGTTAACAATGTACGGACGCGCTTTATCACATTTGTTGCCAACCGGTTGGCTGTCATTCACGAAGAAACGGAGGTGGGTCAATGGCGGCACGTAAAATCCTGTGACAATCCATTCTACTACTGCTCCATGGGTGTGCTGAACTTGAAAAATATCAAAACATGGTTACGTGGTCCAGTCATTTTGTCGGACTAGCCCACTGAATGGCCCGACACTCACATTCTTCCTGTCGCAACAGAGTTACTGGAGACCTAGAGGACCGTTACGTTAGTTGCTGCTTTAACCAACATCCTTCTGTAGAAACTGCATCGTTTTTCACGATGGACGAAGGTGTTGAGGGTGGTTGTTATTGGACCAGGTTCAAACGACAACTCCCTATTATGAAAGAACCTCGACCTAGCGATACCTCGAACATTGGATCGATGATTCCAACCGAATTGGAAACAGCGGAGACTGATGTTGTTCGTATGGTTCAGTTGGAGGCCTTTCAGTCAAAGCTTCAGAGGTTAGGCAAGGGGAATCGGGACTGCGACAGAGATGCATTACGTTGCAGCTCTATCGGAAGACTATGTCCAATATTGGTAGATAGGTTGCTGACAGCAGGCGGAAGATTGGCAAACTTTGGGTTGGACTTTGACGCTAAACATCCCACCATCTTGCCCAACAACCACCACATTACGCACACACTCATCATACATATTCACATGCAAGAAGGTTATGCCGGTCAAAATCACCTATGCAATACGACTTGCCGTCGGTTTTGGATAGTGAAAGGAAGAACTACGGTGAGGCGCATCGTGGTTAACTGTCTCTTTTGTCGTCGCCAGAATGCTACACTCAACAAACAACTGATGGTCCCGCTACCAAGTTCCCGGGTACGACCAGGTTAGTGGCCCTTCGCCGAAACTGGAGTGGACTACTTCGGGCCAATTTGGGTGATACGAAAGACGTCGATGGAGAAATGGTACGGATGCATGATGACCTGCGTACAGTCACGAGCTTTGCATATAGAGACCATACACAGCATGTCGACCGACTCCTTTCTCATAGCCTGGCAGAGATTCGTGAGTAGACGAGGCAACCCATCGAATGTGTTCTCTGATTTCATCGGTGCACAAAAGTATTTGGGCAACGGATTGATGCGGTTAGACAAATGCGCCCGGCATGACCAGCTGTTGGCATTTGGAACCCAATGGCACTTCAACTCACCCTACAACAGTCACCGCGGAGGAGTTTGTGAACGGCTTATACGGTCGGTGCAAAACATATTGACAGCATTATGTGAACAACAGGCGCCGGATGATGAAACTTTGAGTACAGTCCTGATAGAGGCCGAAAGGATAC